CATTTCTTTTAGAGAGATTCTCGGGGTCCCCACCTTGTCTTTTGGCTAGAGACTTTCCTGTCCCCATCCAGGTGGCCTGGCAAAGCCTTACATTCTTTCTGGGCTGTGAATTCTGATCGACGACACCTCAGTTTCTTCAATTTCTTTAAGCCAAGTCACAATATCCAGGCCACCCGGTTTCCTCCTAAGTGTGATTATGAGGTCAGGATAAAGTAGGAGACTCCCACCAGCCCAGGACCAGGTTGTTAATGGTGCCAGGGCATGACTAAGCCCCAGGATGGAAGGTTAGATTTCAGGGAGCAGCAGGTCCCTGGCTGGACCCACCCATTGCTGAGACAAGGCAGCAGGGTGGAGTCAGACTACTTCTTAAGAGTATGTGCCTGCTTCTGCTAGTGAACCTTCCTACCCCTGCAAGAGAGCATCAGCAGCAAGAGGGTGGGTTTGGAGAGAATGACTGAGCTTGGGTAGGGTGTATGCATTATGCACTGTGCTGTGTGTAACCCTGCCCACCCCACAACACCTCTGGGTCCATAGCAGCTGGGCCTGCACCCGCCACTCTCTATGTTTGCTGGGACACGGAGAATGGTATAGTCCTCAAGCACGTGTTCATGTTGTTGCGGGGAGGGGCCAATGTACCTGTTATGTGCATTTGTGGGTGCCACTGCGCCAGTGTGATTGGAATGCCTTCTGAATGAAGAAGGAACTGAGTTGGCCACCCTAACATGGCTGGGGCTTGGGACAGGTTGGGAAGGATTGGGGATAGAACCCACAACCCACCCCAAAGGTAAATATCAGGACAATCACATAGCCCCACTTCCTTAGCCACTTGGGAAATATCATGAGATTAAAGGTCCCTCCATAACTTCTGAAGTCCCTGGGTGGTACAAACAGTTCATACCCTTAGCTGCTGACAGAAAGGTTGGCAGTTCAAGTCCACCCAGAGGCACATGGCAATCTACTCCTGAAAAATCAGCCATTGAAAACTCTGAGGAGCACAGTTCTACTGTGACACACATGGGGTCACCATAAGTTGGAATCAGCTCAGTGCAACTGCTTTTTCCATAGCTTCCAGGAGGGGAAATCTACCACATTTCCCATCCTTTGCAGAATCCTCTTAAGATGGCAACTAGAGATAGGAGCGAGTTCTGGGATATGTGTCTCTTCCCTAATTTTTCAGTTGCAGGTTACAGACACAGCAGGGAGTTTTGTGCAGATAAGCCTTGTCCCCTCACCCCCATCCTAGCCCCCAGCACCCACACCTGCCTTCTCCACCCTCCCCTCACATGAGTTCTTTCCAATCTTCACTTGTCCATCTTCCTGGCTTTTTAATGCATGCTGGAGACACACAGGGAGAGGGAGACGATTTGCATGACCCTCAGAGAAGTAGGACAGGGAGGCACACAAATTTCAGATTTTAAAATTGCTTACAGTCTCTAGAAACAAGCCTTGGGACATGGTGTGTGGGCATCGGTCTCCTGCGTCACCTACTGGCCATTTGGGGGTACTGACCTGTTTGCGAAACGGGTTCCAGAGCTCAGTGTTAAGTACCTTTGATTGTTCGCGTGTGGAGCAACCTTTACCAGGAAGTCCTCCCTCATATCCTACCTGAATCCCTTCTGCAACTTTGGTCCATTTTCTGTTGATGAAATAGGTCAGGAGTAGCCAGTCCACTTGTGCCTTCTCATTTTATCTAAAACTTAAACCCTTCCAAAATTAAAAGCCTATTTATGACTCGGCCACAGAGCAGCTGAGTCGGGCTAGCTGGCCCTGGCACTCCAGCTCCAGTCTTACTTTCCAGCCCTTTAATCTTCGTGGCTCTGCACTGGCTCCCCTCCAAGTTTCCGTTGTCTCGCTGGAGCCTACAGGTGACCACAAGACCCTGATTAGTATCTTTGATACTCGACTCTCTGCTGCCTAAGTAATAGGTCCCACAGGGTTAGGTGGCACCAAAAACTGGGAGGCATATCAAAACATTAAGCCTGCCCTTCAAAAGCAGCCAGTTGCAAACTGGGGAGGGTATGCCCTCAGGAGCCCCACCTGGGGGAGGCTGGTGGAAGGAGAAAGGGTTTGCAAAATTGTCTTAAGTTCCTTGAAGAAAGATACAAGAATCTACATGCTGTTTTCCAGTATCTTCGTTGTTTGGCCCCAGGGCAATGCTTGAACACTTTCAAAGAAAAGGCCAAGAGAGGTCAAAGTAAACTGACCCCAAGGTTTATTGAACCGTTGTCAACAGTCCCAGCTCCCAAGGAAGGATGACTAACAGTTAAGGGTAGGGCCACAGCACAACTTGGAAAAAGCCTAAAAAGTAAAAGAGTCTTGAGAAGCGCTGTTGATCTGGGAGGGGAGGAGCGTCCATCTCTACAAAGGCCAAAGAGAGAAAAAACAAGCTAAAATGGTACCTGGAGGAGGACCTCTCTGACTAAAAGGACCCACAAAATAAGGGGCCAGAGGAGGGCGGAATGGCACACTCATTCCAGAAGTCTTTAAGAACTAGAAAGAACACCACTGGGATAAGTATACACACCTGTTTCTCCTTGGGCACAGGGAGATTACTGAAAGGATGCCAGAGCTGAGGTAACCATCCCTTGGAGGTGAGGCAGCTTTCTGGGCTCTTTCCCTTTGAAGAGATAAGCCCTGGGTGTCCAGCTCCACGGATGCTCCTGAGAACAGCTTGCTGGCTGTCTGGGCCAGGCTGGAGCAGCTCACTGAAGGAGATGCTTGTCCTTCTTCACTCAGTGGTTAGCACCCACCCCAGCCCTCTTACCTCTAAAATGATCTGGCTACAATCAGGATTGGGGAAGGGGTTTGGCCGTGCACCACCGCAATGCTGCCAGCCTTTCAGTGGCAACCATCTCTTGCCCTGCCCCCTGGCCAGTTATTTTTTGAGGATTAGAATGCTTGCTAATGGCCAGAGAGGGTGAGTGAAGTGTCTCAAGATGGGCCCAACAACCCATCTTTGCAATGGTTAGCTCTTTCTTTCCCCATCCCCTCTCCCCCAAAGACTTGAGCCTCAGCTTTGGAGCTGTATTCTAGATAACAGAGTCCTAGGCTTTCGGTTTGCAGAGGCCCCCAATACCAGCCATGCTCCCCGCTGCATCCTCACCCTCATTCTAACTTGTCCCACAACCAGGAAAAGTTGGCTTAGCCCCAAACATCACTCTTAACTAATCCCTAGAATGCAGCATTGCACCTATCATCATCATGCTGATTAATCATCACAGCAGGTTCTCATAAAGTAGAATGAAGACACTGGGGACACCAGGACACGGCTGGGAGAGGGGATGAAAGGCCAAAAAGGGATCCACATATTGCATTTTGCTCAGGGATAGCCTGTCCACAGCTTTGCTACTTGGGTGGCAAAGTGGACCCCCCTCATACACATCCTCCCACCTCTAATAACTACTTCCCCTCCCCTCCTGTAAATAAATACACACACTAACCACCCGGAGCGCCGCAAACCCTTGGAGGGACTTCCCTGCCAGGGCCTTAAAGACCGGATACTTATTTAATTCAGCTTGATAAATCCTGAGCCAAGAGAGAAACAGGTGCTTAGGTGCTTCCTGCCACCTGCCATCCTGACCAGGTGAGGCCAGGTCTCTGACTGCCTCCCCTCACACACACCTGGAATTTCCCCCAGGTGGGGGTGCGAGGGCTCAGCAGTCAGGTTCTACGCCAGAGTCCGGGGTCACAATACAGTCTGTTCTCTAAAAGCTCCTTTGCACCAACTCCTTCCTGGCCCCACTCTCTTGTCATCCCCCCTCCTGGGCATCCCAGTCCCAGTGGATGTGGAAGTGGGGGAGAATGGGATTTTCCTTCACCCCGTCTTAGTTATCTAGGGTCACCCCCAAGCCCCAGTTCTTCTGGGCAGTGCTTGAAAAGAGGGCAATGAAGATCCGGCCTCCTTGCCCCCACTGAGCCCCTACACCTGGTCTCACCAATGAGCCTTCTGGCCACACCCTGCCCTCCTGGGAACAGCAACCTACGGTCTCCCCACTTTGCATATACCCAAGCTCGTGGAGTCAAGGGGCTAAGAGGAGAAATGGGGTCCCAGAGAAGGTGCCTATGAGATAAGAATTTAAATGAAATCGGTGGACCCAAGAAAAAGTCTAGGGGAGGGTGGAGTTAACAGATCAACAAATAAATGAGCAAAGTCCTACTTCTTTAAAGGTCATAAGTCAGCTAAGTATAGACTGTCACCAAGCCACTCCTATATATAACTTCTCCAGCCTCAACCAGCTGTCACCCAGCTCTGCCTGGAGCTGAGTAATGTCCCGGCCGTGTAGGGCCCAGAGCACAGAGCCAGCTCTGAGCCAGAGCAGGGAGCGAGACCTCCCAGTCCCATTTGCCCTGTTCCCCTCCATGGGCATATTTCTGGTTCTACCATCCCCCACGTCCGTTTCTCCTGTTCTTCATGATGTTCCCCAGCCACTTCCAAACCCCCAGCACCCCCCTGCCCCCGTTGCCCAGGCCCAAATATATCTCAGCTCCCAGCAGTTCTGAAAGCACAAAGACCCAACTAAGGAAAAATGTGACCTTTCTAGTCCATACCTCGGCTGTCCCCTATTTTCCTGTTAGCACGGGCCTCTAGATTTTGTTCCTACATCTCAGCCCCATCTACTTAGCCATCTCCCTGGCAAGCAATCCAACTGACCACCACCTTAGTTCTCAGACCACGTTCCTCCCCCTTCCAGCCTCCAGAATGCCTTCTTCCTTCTGTCAAACTTCCCCTTAAAAATCAGTACAACATTTTCAAGTTTCCTCTAGTTCATGAAGTCTTCCTAGACTTGCTGTTCTTGACCCCAGTCATCCCAGCTACGTCTCACCATTTAAATGCTGGTTGAAGCTTATTCCCTGGTTCTTGTTTCCTGGCTTTCCCCAGTCTGGTAAGGTTCATGAGGGCAGAGGCTGCGTCTACTTCAGCCTTTATTACCCCCCCACCCCACCCCAAACCTCCAAGCCCAGACTCTGGAGGCTGATCCTCTGCCCACTTCTTCCAGCAGAGAGAGACTCACGTGAGCACGAGGAGCCCACCACGTCAGAGATGGCAGAGGAGACCTACTCCCCCAAAATCTTCCGGCCCAAGCACACCCGCATCTCGGAGCTGAAGGCGGAGGCAGTGAAGAAGGACCGCAGGAAGAAGCTGACCCAGTCCAAGTTCGTAGGTGGAGCGGAGAACACTGCCCACCCCCGCGTCATCGTAGCCCCAGAGATGAGACAGGAGTCTGAGCAGGTGAGTCCAGAGGACCGCCCCACAGCTCCCTTTGTCTCCCAGCCCAGCAGCCTCTGTCTGCCAGGAACTCAAGGGGCATTTGTGCAGCAAGAGGGGGTTAGGCAACACCTAACAAAAGACCCAGCAATCTGCTTCCATAAAGATCAACCAAAAATAAATTGCCCTCCCGTCCATTCTAACTCATAGTGACCCTATAGGACCGAGTAGAACTGCCCTATAGGGTTTCCAAGGCTGTAATCTTTACTGAAGCAGATTGCCAGGTTTTTTCTCCCCAGGGGCACATTCAAACTGCTGACTTTTCAGTAAGCAGCCAAGTGCTTAACCACTGCACCACCAGGACTCCTTCCATAAAGATTACAGTCTAGGAAATCCTATGAGACAGTTCTACTCTGTCACATGGGGTCACTATGAGTGGGAATCCACTTGACAGCATCCAACAACCGAAGACCTACCACTTGCTGTGGTAGTGGTAGCTCTCCTTAGGATTTGCAAGGAGAATTTTCAGAGGTTACATTTATCAGGGTGAGGCATTGGTGGTTCCATGGTAGAATTCTCACCTTCCATGCAAGAGACGCGGGTTCAATTCTCAGCCAATGCACCTCATGCACAGCCACCACCCCTCTATCAGTGGCGGCTTGTGTTTTGCTATAATAATGGACAGATTTTAGCAGAGCTTCGAGACTAAGCCAGAGTAGGAAGAAAGGCCTGGGGATCTACTTCTGAAAATCAGCCAACAAAAACCCGGTAGATCACAACGGTCCAGTCCCCAGCTGATCATGGGGATAGCACAGAACGGGGCAGCATTTCCCTTCTGTCATGCAGGGGGTTGCTGGGTGGGGGGCGGGGGAGACGCATCTTAATAGCAGCTAACAACAACAGCAGCATTTATCAGGACCAAGAGCTTGCACACGGGAGCATGAGTGAAGGTAGTGCTAATTTAAGGAAAGTCACCGCCAGCCAGCAACAGCAGCCACACATCAGGTGTGCAAGCCCAGAGCTCTGTCCAGTCCTAGGCAGAGGCTGAGCATCCTCTCTGGAGCATCCAGAGAGGGCCACCTCTGAATTGAATGACTCAGCAAAACGGAAATGTGGGGGGTGGGGGGCGGGGGCAGCATAGAAGACCGGTGGAACAATATGGCTTCTGCACCTGGCCAAATGCAGGTGTCGTACACCCTCCCCAGGGCACGTGACAGGTGAGAGGGAGGCAAGATCTTTGATTGGGACAAAAAGTGGGGCTTTCCTGCGGGCTCTCACACTGCAGACCCTTGGCCCCTGCACATCTGGGTGGCTCCCACCTCGGTCCCACACGTACCTCTCATCCCTTCGTATTCACACACAGGGCCCCTGCCGCAGACACATGGAAGCGTCCCTGCAGGAGCTCAAAGCCAGCCCTCGCATGGTGCCCCGTGCTGTCTACCTGCCCAACTGTGACCGCAAAGGATTCTACAAGAGAAAGCAGGTACGTCCCCTGTCCCGGGCTCCCAGGCCCAGAGGGGTCCTGAAATGGCACCTGCCAGGAGACCTTGCCCTCGAACAAGCGCCTGAGACTTCTACCACAAAGGATGCAGTGTTTTCCAGACCTCCAGCATCCATTCACATAGCGCAGTTTTCCCATCCCCTCTATAATCTACTTAATGTTAATGGATTCGCTGTATTTACATGAATTCATTTAAAGAGGAATCTTTATGTTACTGCATCACATCACATGTTTTAGGTGCTACTTAAATTCTCTGCTGATATATATATACATCTTTTTAATATGTATTTTCTCCATGTACCACCTGAAGTCATTTCATGTGGTACACAGCCAAGCCACACTTGAGGCAACCCTGCTGCAGGTTTAACCAGTAATCCTTAGCCTATTAAAATGGTACACATTACCTTAAGACAGTGGTTCTCACACTTTGTAGGGCATCAGAATCACCTGAAGGGCTTGGTAAAACACAGATTGCTGGGCCCAACCCGCAGAGTTTCTGATAGCTAGGTCTGGGATGAACTCTGAGATTTTCTAACAAGCTCCCATATGATGCTGATGCTGCAGGTCCAGGGACCACACTTTGAGAACCCCTGCCTTCAGGGCACCCCTGATCTAAGTTCGTGGCTAAGAGCCAGACTGCCTTGGGTCGATTCTCAGCTCTGCCGCTTACTAGCTGCGTCCCCTTACCCCAGTTACTGAATGTTTATTTATCCTGTGCCTCTGTGTAATATAGGGAATAATAGTACCCACCTTACACAATTAGGAGGAATAATAGGTTAATATTTGTAAAGCACTTAGAACAGTACCCACTATATAGTAAGTGCTTAATTAGTCTCTAACACATGATAAAGCCGTACAAGTGATGTCGTCTGTTATTATTACTATTATTGCTATATGAGATCACATAGCTCTCTTGAGAATCTTTTGAGAATTCCAGGTTGGAGGGCCCTGAAAGTGTAATATAAAAAAGAGATTGTGGAAGGTAGCCAAGGGCAGATTACCTAAATTCACATTTTTCCCTGGGCCCTTGCCGTGAAATGGGGACACCAGACCCCCAAGGGTTGAGTATAACCCCCCCAACATTCTGGGATGAGGGTTCTACCTGGGGGTAGGGAAGAGGAAGGACCAGGCAGGAGCAGAGCCTTGGGGTGCAGCCCCCCTCACTGCCTGTTGTTCTCCCCAACCCAGTGCAAGCCTTCCCGTGGCCGCAAACGTGGCATCTGCTGGTGCGTGGACAAGTACGGGATGAAGCTGCCCGGGCTGGAGTATGTCGACGGGGACTTTCAGTGCCACGCCTTTGACGGCAGCAACATTGAGTGATGCGTCCCCTCCCTGTCCTTCCCTCACCCCATCCCACCCCCAGTCCCAACTCCAGCCAGCGCCTCCCTTCACCCTAGGATGCCACTCATTTCATCTCATTTAAGGGAAAAAATATATATATCTATTTGAGGAAACTGAGGACCTCGGAATCTCTAGCAAGTTCTCAACTTTGAAAGTGGCAACAACAGAGACATGAAAAGCTAAGGAGACCCCCTTTACAATGTTTTCTTTTTTGTTTTTTTTTGAGGCAAGTTGAACAAACAGGGAAGGGAAGAGAGGAAGAACGAGAGACAGAGTGACAGAGCGGGAAAGCAAACACATGACTAGGAGAGAAGGAAAGGCAATTAGAGTTTCAGGAAGGTAAAGAAGGAAGCGGGCCGGAAGGAAAGGTCACTGGGACTACGGTCGGGTCCATCTTTTGTGTCCAGCCCTGGCCGAGATGGGGAGAGGTGTGGCCCAAGATGTGGCATTTGGTGCCACACTTGGAGCTTTCCCAGTTTGGATTGGTCAGTAGGAGAAAGGAGAAAAAAAAAAAGTAAAAAACCATGTCGATGCCTCTCCTGCATCTATCTCCTCCTCCAGCCAGTGATTTGGATGGCTTGACCCCTGTCCTTCCTCTCCCCTTGCCCCAGTAAGGTGTTTTCTCTCCCCAAAATGGATAAAAACAAAAATGCATTCCATTCCTTTAATAGCAAAGTAATAACTGAGTGATATTAGATAGATTTTCCTAGACAGATATATAAATATTAAATATGGGTGCCTATGCTAACCCTCCCCCTTCACCAATACAGACTTTTAGAAATCAATACACACCCCAATATTGGAAAGACTCATTCCTCCAGGGTGATGAAAAACTCATGCTCAAGTATGTGGTTTCAGCCCCTCACTTCATTCAATCCATGGCTAGTACAGCCTCCGTGGGGGAGCATAGGTGAAAAAAAAAGTGTGGGCCTGTGTTTATCTACAAGGCTCCATATAGTCATATATAGGCATATAAATCTACTTTTTTTTCTTTCTTCCTTCCTTTCTTTCAATGGTTTGCCTTAACTTTTCAAAGTAGTTCCTATGGGGCATTGAGGAGTGTCCTCATTCTGCGTAAACCAGGAGAACCCAGTTCTCCTAATACAATTCATAATACCAATTTTACCTGCTTCTAATCAAGGCTTTATAGGACAGACTATTGGATTTTTTAATGATCTCCCATGTACACATGTGTTCATATATACATGTGTGTGCCACCATGCCAGGGAGATGCCAGCACTCAATGGTACATACACTATGTCCCCAATACATCCCATGTTAGTCTTCAAACCATCAGGAAGTAACTTTCTCTGAATATCACACCAATAAGAGCTCAACAGGTCCAGGTTTGACCCACTGATCCTGCCCCACCACCTTTTTCATTTCATCTGGACAGAGCCTACATTTTGAAAGCCTCTCTTGGTCTTCACGCTGGCAGAGCAGGAGAGAGATTGAAAAGAGAGATGCAAAGAGGGAGATAGAAGGGGAATCATTTAAATATAAGGAACAGAGTAAAATTGATGGTTCAGGCCAGGGTAGAGGGAGTGGAGGAACACAAAACTTGAGAAACAGAGGGCTGACTGCCCATTCTAGCTTTGGAACAAAGCCAACAGAAAGCAGGACAAAGTTAATAGAACCTTGCTTGGCTTTCCCACCATATAAGCCCTCTGGGATTCAAGAGAAAGGAGAGATGAAAATGGGGAAACTGATTGTAAATAGAAATGAACTTAATCCAGGCCATAGAGTCAGGGAAGGTGGGAAACATTAGGTGGATTCTGGACGTTAGAAGCTGGAAGGGAGCAAGGATCAGTAGAGACTGGCGTGCTTTTGAAGGGACAAGACTATGTGCGCAGATGCCCACCTTCAGCCTGCAATGAGGGATTGAGAACAAAGTGTCTTTCCAGCTCTTCATCCAGTCTGGCCAGTCCCTGTTTCCTCCCTTGGGTGGAGGATGGAAGAAAGGACCAGGATAACCAGGGAATGGATGATTCAGGGGGAGCCATCATTGGCGGCCAGATTCTGAACCAAGAAAAATCCCATTCTCCACTGACTTTCTCAACTGATGGGTGGCCTTGGGGCCGTCCTCTAAGGCTGGAGATAGCCTTCCTGGAAAGGGGACTTGAACTGGCAAAGGAGACTCTCTGTGGACATGCTCTCCACTCTTACCTGATGGCATGACACAGTGGAAGCCAACTCAAACACTGAACCTGGGGCAAAGAAGCAAATCTATTTCAACTAGTGGAAAGCGTACCACTGTGGAACTTGGGGGATGTCTCCTACTCCCCTGGACAGGACAGTTGGCTGGGGATGGGAGAGGTGGCCAATCTTCATGAGACAAAGGGCCAGATGGGGAAGGCAGCAGTGAGGACTTACTGACCTGCCATGTCAGCATGCCCCATCTCTCTGCATAACTGTCCCCAAAACCCTGACTCACATTTCTAGATGTCTTAGGCCAGTATCCTAAACCTTTACCACCTTACTCTTCTGCCCATTCTTTCTTTGGATCTTGAGCAGTCCTCTAACTGAGATCTGCCAAGTGGATACTAGGGTGCCATTCACCCTAAGAAAAGACTGAGCCAGGAATTGCATACGCCCTCCCAACCCTCCCAAGGCCTGGACCTGATTCTTAAGAGGGGGCTCCCTCTTTTTCCCCAATGTTTGCTGGATTTTGAATGGGCCTCTGCCCCTTACATTGGCTCTTTCTTTGCTGTCAGCCACAAGGTAGGGGATAATGACCTGGTTTAATTCAGCCAGACTCTTGAGAGTTCCAAGCTCATGCCTACTGACCCAAACCTGTGACTGAGTCAGTGCTTGCAGGGGGTGTTTCTGGGCAGCTGACCACTCCTACAGGAAGCTGGAACTTCATGGACAGGTGGAACCAACCCTCCCAAATGGGAAGCCAGACCTGAGCCTGAGGCACAAGACCATGGGAAGGGAGTCATTGAAGGAAAGATAGAATCTCTTCCCTTTGCATGCAGGAGGGAAGGCAAGTTTGAGATGGTGTGAGGATGTAAGTCCTGAGCGGGTATCTCTTTGACTGCAGGCTGGCTGTTGGCCAACTCTCTGCTCACCTGAAGGCCTTAGACTTCAGGTTATCAGAATATCCTTCCACGGCTCCCCATCTAAGAGACACTGGAGGTCTCTTCTCATCCTCCTTCTGACCCCCTCACTCCAGTGTGGAGAAGACACCTCTGTCTTTCCCCACTACTGCCAGGTAATTGAGGGAGGCCTAGCCAGCATGGATCCTCCTTCCCCTGGCCTGCTCTGACCCACCCAGGCAAAGCCAGGCATCTGGGAAGGAAGAGACTCAATAGTTTCACCGACAGCCAGGCCTAGACAGACAGGCCTGGAGACACTGAAGCCCCACAGGGGAGGAAGGCAGTCACGGGAGGCCCTGTGTGGTCATACCTCCTCTTCCCTTGCCCCATTTTCCCATCACCCCCTCTGTGGTCTCCATGGTAACCCCACAGGGTTAACCTCCACTGGGGGAGGTGGCCCTCAACCACTGTCCCCCACTTCCTAGCTCCTTAGCAGCAACAGGACTGCCAGGGTAACCACCAAGCCCCCCTCATTGTGGGGCCATCTGTTCCCCCGTCTCCATCCACTCAGACCCCTAGAGGGCGCCAGTTCAGAATGGGCACTTCAGTGAGGTGTGGGCCAAGGAGAAGAAACCCTCTGGTCTCCAAGAGGAACATTTTGGCTTCTAAGAAAGGAGGCCACGTTTTGAAAAGTGGTTGGACCAGGGCACGGGGGTTTTACCAACCAGCAACCTGGGTGTTGTACTGTCTTTATTTTTAAAACCACTAAAGTGCAAGAGTTGTTTTGCACTGTTTCTCCACTTTTTTTTTTCTTTTAGGTTTTTTGTTTCTTTTTTTAAAAAACGCTTTCTTGGTTTTCTAACGGAGTATATAGTTTAGCCATTTCCACAGACTCTGGCCTCCTCTCTAACTCCTTTTGGATGGGGAAAGGGAAGGCAGGAGGGTCAGAGGGGAAGGGGTTTCCAGCTCCCTGCGCCCCTTCACCCTGCTTCTCTGGTCCCTGGTCACTAGCCTGAATCCTATATCTGCCACCACCACCACCATCACACAGTAGCCCACATGGATAGCACAGTTGTCAGACAAGATTCTTCAGATTCCGAGTTGCCGACTGGTTTTTTTTTTTTAAGGACAGCAATAACCACAGCACATATTACTGTACTTCTTTATAGTTTGACATACATACATACCATAGCTTTGTTCTCTCCTCTTTTTTGTTTTCAATTTTTTTTTTTTAAATAAATGCTCATAATCTTGACTGGTGAAAAGGATGGAAAAATTTAAAAACCAACAAACAAAAGCAGTTTGTGGAAAAAAAAAAGTGGAAAAAAAAATTGCCTGAATGCGGAAGAGCTCAGCTCCTATTTAGCATTTCATACTTAAGAAAATAAAAAAAAACAGAGGATCTCACATTTTATTAAAAAGTGAAGATTGCTGTATACTATTTATTCAACTTATAATTTATGTTACTCCTTGATCTTTGTCTTTTGTCATGACAAAGCATTTATTTAATAAAGTTATGCATTCAGTTAGCCTGTGTCAGCTTCCTCCTAGGGCCCAGGGAAGGTAGGCAAATGGTGAAGCAAGCCCCCCAGGGTTCTCCTCAGGCCACAAACCGGAGGGGAAGGAGAAAGGACCCAGGAGAAGTCAGCCAAGGGCCCTCCTCCCTCCAGAGGGGGACCTCTGAGTGGAGATGGCTGATCCCTGCAGACAAACCCTCCGATCCAGAACATAGGTGCCCCTTCATCCCATTGAAAACTGCTTTCCCAGCAAAGCCTCTGCAGCTGTGTGACCTGGGGCAGCTTACTTAACCTCTCTGTGCCCTCCTTTTCTCTTGGGTAACAACCTTATAGGACTGTTGTGAGGATTAAATGGGTTAATATACATAAAGTGCTTAGAACAGCAAATATTCAATATATGGTCAGCTATTGTTGTAACTATTATTATTATTAATCATTTAATCCCAGCCCCTGACATTAAACAAAGTGGACTTAAACCCCAGCCAAAAAAAACAGTTGCCATCAAGTTGATTCCGATTCATGGTAACCCCATGTGTTTCAGAATGGAAGTGCATTCCA